CAAGTCTACCCTGATTTCTGAGTTGTTCTTTTCTTCTGGCAGCTCTGCGCATGCGCACACTGGGAACAGGCTCCAGCTGTTCCTCTGCCTCACTGTTGTCTAGCTCCGTAGGCACCTGATCAGTGCCAGACAGCCTTGGCCCTGTCTCTGCCTCTCACGCAGAGCCCTCGTCCGAACCTTCCCCAGCCTCCAGGACTGGCCCATGCTCCTCCCCAACCTCCTCACTGTCTGACTCTGCTTCCAGCTCCACTGGCCACTGGCGGGCCACAACAAGTTGCCAGACGAAGGGAACAGCTAAAGGACAGGGGTGGACTTGGGAGTAAGGCCACAGGTGGACGATGAACAGCCCCTCCCAGAAGAAATAAAAGAGGGGAGAAAGGGGAGTGGAGTTTGCAGGAGACCGTTCGTTCGCTTCATTGGTTCGTGACTCTCCGAGACTCCTGGCCAAGTTTTGCAGATAACGGCTTGGCAGCTCTCCAAGCCAGAGAAGGTCTGTGACGGTAAATCCTCCCTTTGCTGAAGTGAATGATCAGAATTCACAGTCAATTAATAAAAAGGGGTTTTTGTCAGGACCAGGAGTCTGCTTCATGCTCTTAGGAAGCCTGGGTCCTTTCCCAAAATGTACGTGTCTCGAGCCAAGCAGTGCATAGATTGATGCTCCTTGGCTCTGGATGATCTTGGCTATCATCCAGATAGCTCGGGGGGGTCAGCTGCCTGGACAGTTTTCAGCCAGATTTCGAAGCCTTTTTGTGTGTGTAAACAGTACAAGTCTCTGGAAAGACGATACGACAATGGTTTGACTGAGGGATGTCATGGAAGGATTTGTACTCCTTCAAGACAGCTGGTCATTTGCATTCTTTTTAGAAGTCCTCGAGGCCACTTGGAGGTTTATCTATGCCCTAAGTGGTGCAAATTGTTCCTGTAGTCTGCAATTTTTATTTTTCCACTGAAAATCTCTTTATGCTCCCACGCCATTCCAAGCGTGTTCATCCCAAAGTGCATATTTAACAATCTATGGAGATTCTCAGTCATCCAGGTCATCCAGTTGTCCCAAAGGTGCTTTTTCGAAAGGCAACTGGGACTTTCTGGTTTTTCTTTCTTCTTCATCCAAGTAGCTCCTTCAGCTCTGACTGGTGTCAGGGTTCCCAATAGCATCCAAAAGTAAATCAGAGTCCGAGGCAAAGGATTGCTCTAAGTCCCAATTGATGAAGAGAGCCATGTTGGCACATCCGGGATAAACCCGAATCTGAAAGCTTCCCGGTTTTCCCCCACCCAGTTGAAAGTCCAAGATACTGCCCCCTACACCCACAAGTCCATCCCATGGTCCAATCTCCCAATGCCATGCTGGCAGTTCCACCCATCAGGTGTAGAAGTAGAAAGACAAAGGGTGACCTTGGCTTTCTAGAAAGAATGTTGTTATGGCTACATAGCATCTAATTCCGTACAATCCCTCCTCCCATTTTCCCACCATAGAAAAGGCATAGTAGAATAATAAAAAGTGTAGCAGGCCAAAGATCCAAAAGAAAAAGATGGCTGGATGGAAGGATTTATACTCCTTGCAGACAGCTGGTCATTTGCATCCTTTTATAGAGTCTTGGAGGTTTGTCTGTGTCCTCAGAGAATCTCCATAGTCATTGTCCCTTTGGTCACCCAGCTATTATGTTGGAAAAGCTCATCCCAACAGCTTCCAGATTACGTCCAGATTACGTTCGATCCTTTCTGAGAATTCTGGGAATTGAAATCCACGCGTTGACAAATTTGGGAGACCCTGCTTCCCTCTTTAAAAAATCTGGATCCCGCACGTTATAGAGACCTTTTTGGGGGGTGGGGTGTGTTCTTGTGTTCCTGCAGATACGTCGGAGAGCTGATATCTGACTCGGAGGCAAACGTTCGTGAGGAAGATTGCTATCTTTTCGACCTTGGCAACAAGGTAAGTGTGGTGTGTGTGTGTGTGTGTGTGTGTTTTTAATTGCTAAGCATTTCAAGGGCGAGTAGAAGTGCTAAAATGAATTCTCCGCACCCCCTCCCCTCCTTCCGTCTTGCATCACCCTGGGTGGAACAAGATCTTGGAGATGGCGTGCGAAGCTCTTTTCACCTTTGAATCAGCAAAGTCTCACGCAAGAGGGGAAGGCAAGCTCAGAGGCTCAGTTAATGGGTTCGAGAGGAGGGACAGGGAGCAGGCAAGCTCTTTCCCGGGCTGCTGAATGTCTGGGAATCAAGCTACTTTGCTGGATGAGGAGGAGCAGAAAGACCAACTGTTGTGGCCTGCCAGCGGAGCTGGTGGCAGACTCAGATAGTGAGGAGGTTGGGGAGGAACAAGGGCCAGTCCTGGAGTCTCAGGAATGCTTTAGAGCAAGCCTCTTTAAGACACATGCACTGTCTCCCTACCTACCTGTTGTGCCCACCCACCCACCCCAGCGATCAGCGGAGCTGGCAGCAGATTCGGTCAGTGTGGAGGTTGGGGAGGAACCTGGGCCAATCCTGGAGTCTGGGGAAGGCTCTGATGAGGGCTCTGTGTTGGAGGCAGAGAGGGGGCCAGGGCCGTCTGACAGTTATCAGCTGCCTTCGGAGTCAGACATCAGTGAGGCAGAAGAACAGCTGGAGCCTGTTCCCACTGTGCATGNATTTTCTATATTCTATTCTTTTCTGTATTCTATTCCATTCCATTCCCTGTTCTACCCTATCCTATCCCATCCCATTCCATTTTCTATATTATATTCTTTTCTATAGTCTTATTTTATTTTCTATATTCCATTCCATTCCACTCCAATTCTCTCCTCCCCCTCCCCTCCTCTCAATTCTCCTCTCCTATTCCATTCCATCCCATTCTGGCTGTCTTCAAAAGACTCGGCCTTGGCCTTTGAAATGCAGATGGACTGCTGAATCTTGTCCTGATGCCTTTGGGTCCTTCTGGTGCTGTTGGCACTTCAATGTTGGATCAACTGAGCGGAATCTAGCTGATAAGAAAGGAAGGTTCTCTTAATGTTCTCCATAATGACAATTTCAGTCGAGGGGGAAGAGCAACTGTTTTCCTCTCTTATACAGGAGTAATTCCCCCCCCTCCCAAATTTTCAAGACTTAGAGAGAGGCGGATGCCAAGCCAGAAACGTACATCCTTACACTTACAGAGTAAATCCCTTCTACCACCCAAGCAATCGGCTCTTTGCAACTTGGTCGGGCTGGATAGCAGAACGAAGTGTTTTAACGGTCGCCCTGAAAGGCAGCTTCTGGCCTGGAAGCCACCCGGAGTCGCGGTTCTGCCGTTCTCCGTTCTCCCCGCCATCCCGATCCGTCTAGGCTGGCTGCCCTAGAGGGATGATGTGTCATCGGGAGATCTCCAAGGGCTTCCCTAATGCCGAAATCTTCCCCCCCCCCAACCGCCGTCTGTGGCATTTCCCCTGTGGATGCACCCCGAGCCGTGCTGTGCCTTGCAAACAAATGAATCATCTGTCCTTGTAAGCGAGAGGGGGAGAGAGAGAGAGATAGATCAGGTCCTCCCCCTCCTCTCAGGGAGTTTGGAGACAGCTGTTGCGGGGATCCCCCTTTCTTTAAGAGAAGGCAGCCCACAAACTGTGGATGATTGGGGGGGGGAGGGAAGGTCAAAAATACAGAGTGTTCCCCGAAATGTCAGGCCGTCTGGATTGCCTCTTCCACCTCCTCCCCATCTCTCTCTCTCTTCCTCAGGAGCAGAATATCTGTTTACACTGGGCTGCTTTCTCCGGCTGCGTCGATATCGCCGAGATTCTCCTGGCTGCTAAGTGCGACTTGCACGCGCTGAACATTCACGGGGATTCTCCGTTGCACATCGCGGCCCGGGAGAACCGCTACGAGTGTGTTGTGTAAGTACAAAAAAAAAAAATCCCTCCAAAAAATCAAAAACAAACGTGGAGCTTTCGGACCTTTCCCTCCCCTCCCCTCCACGTTTGTTTTAACTCTGTGCGAAATTAAACCTGCCCATCTCCACCTCTGGGCGGGTCGAACGACACCCGTAGAAATGCACGGATAAAGGCGTAGCTGCCTCCCTTCCTTCTCGGTGACCTTGTCCTTTCCTCGCAGACTGTTCCTCTCCCGTGGCTCCGATGTGGCCCTGAAAAACAAGGAGGGCGAGACTCCGCTGCAGTGTTCGAGCCTCAACTCTCAAGTCTGGGTCACTTTGCAGATGAACAAGACCCTGAAAGAATCGGCTCCAGAGAAACCCGCCCAGGTGGAGAAGATACTAAGCAGGTGTGACCACCTGCCTTAAGTTCCAGGCCAACAGAAAGTTGCACCACCTGCTTTTCTCCCCATTCCACCACCACCAATTTTGGAAAGGAGCCTCCATCCTCTTAGGAGAGATGGCTGCGGAGGCTGCTAGGTTTCCCACTCAGATCAGGGCAAGGAGGGCATCTCCCACGAAAGGGAAATTTGAAGACTTGGCCAACTGTGGCTAAGTCCTTCGGATTCAACTCAACTCAAAGCAGTTTGGGGTTTAGCAGCTGCCCTAAAGACCTGGCTGCTTTAATGGGGAGATCTTAGAATCTGAATGGCCTGGAGGCTCCTGTTGGGGTCCCCCAGTGGCCTGCGGAGTTGGCAACTGAGTCGGACAGCGAGGAGGTTGGGGAGGAACATGGGCCAGTCCTGGAATCTGGGGAAGGCTCGGACAAGGGCTCTGGGTCAGAGGCAGAGAGGGGGCCATCTGGGAGTTATGTGCTGCATCCAGAGCCTCCAGAGTTGGCCATCAGCAAGGTAGAGGAACGGGCTCTCCCTGTTCTCAGTGCGCGCATGCGCCGAGCTGCCAGAAGGCAAGAACAGTTAAGACAGAAGGGACAACTCAGGAGTAAGGCTCGGAGGTGATTGGCCCCTCCCATAGGACATAAAGGAGTAGCAAAGGCACATGAGCCTTTGCAGGAAGCAACTTAGTTGAGGCTGGTCAACTTACCTTCCGAAGCTCCGTTTTGACTCTGTGCTCCGTGTGGCCTTGCCAAGCTAATTGCCAATCTTTGGCAGCGTTTCAAGGAAGATAAAGGCGGGTGCTTATCAGCCTTATCCCGAAGGACTTTGGCAGCCTACTGTAGGACTCTTTCCAACTATTTAGGACTCATTACGGGCTGTGAATGAACATAATTCACAGCCTTTGAAATGAAAAGAGGGTTGTGGGGACTAAGTGTGTGCTTTGTACTGTATCAGGAAGCCTAGGTCAGAACAGCTCCCCCACCCCCCCACCCATCCCCGGTTAGAATACAGCGAGCCGGTCCAGAGTAGAGTCTCCGGATGCCAGGTGGTATCGTGTTTTTTTTACCTCTCCGTGCCTGTGTGGCTTCTTGCTTTTAAAGCCATTCTTTCTCTTCTCCCTGCTGTGACAGAGACATCGCCCGGGGTTACGAGCGGATCCCGATTCCCTGCATCAATTCTGTCGACGGCGAGCCCTGCCCTGTCAACTACAAGTACATTTCCCAAAACTGTGTGACTTCGCCTATGAACGTGGACAGGAACATCACTCATTTGCAGGTGCCAGACTGGGACAGGAACTGGGTGTCCTTCCTTTCCCTCCCTTCCTTTCTTCCTCTCTCCCTCCCTCTCTTCTGGGTTGTTCTTATTAATGACTACTACTTCTCCTCCTTCTCCTCCTCTTCCTCCTTCTCCTTCTTCTCCTTCTGTCTTCTACATTTCCTCCTTCCTGATTCTTTCCTCCTCCTCTCATTCTCCTTC